TATAAGAGTTGTGTGCTTTTTTGTACCAAACATGGCCACAGTTCATGTTATATAACCGTTCTCCAAGCTTCATACCTTAGAATTAAACAGACTGTTTTTGTTATTGTGTCTTTATGACTGATCCAGGATAAATGAGCTCTGTTCTGATTGGCTGCCCTTTACTTTGCCTTATTCAGAAAAGCTCTCAGTATAATTGGACATCACTAAGCTACTGTAAGCTGAATGGGTGGATATACGTAAATTAATTGCAGCATATTTTTCACATATGGACTGTAGAGGTAAAATTTAGCAGTGTTTACATTATTACTTCAGATTCCCTTATTTAAAAATAAGTTAAAAATCTGCCTTTTAAAGTAGACCTAGTTTGAATGCTGTTCTTGGTTTCTGAAGACGTAGTGCTACACTGGTGTATAAAGTGTATAGCGCATGCATTAGTGTATAGAGAATGTGTCGTGCATACATTTGTGTATAATATATACATTAGTATACATTGAGTGTATATGGAGTGTATACAGTAGTGTATAGAGAGTGTCTGGTGTTCACATTAGTGCATAGAGAATATAGAGCATATACATATAGTGTATAGAGATTATTAAGTATATGTGTCTGTATGTGTATAGAGTACATATTTTCTAGAGAGTAATGTGTATATGTAGTTATTTTCACTGTAAACTTGAACATTTAGATTCAGGAGTCAGTGTTTTAATTTCATAGTGCTCTGTGAAGGGAGCAGGGCGCAATTTCAGGTTCAGCCTGCATTTTCCATTAGTTTAGTTTTTTAAGAGTGCTGTGTTTATGTGTTGGTTGAGCTCCGCACTAGCCCCTCCCACCTCCAAGATTCTTCAGCAGCAAAATCGAGCGGCTGCTCCTCAGTTTAAACCAGTTTAAACTGGTTTACATCTGACTGAAACTGAAACTACAGAGTTGCCTCAGTGCTGAACAGCGGCGCCATTTTCTGAAGGAGAGAGAAATGGAGCTGTTACTGCAGACAGACAGAGAACTGCTGAGGCAGAGCCTCACCTGAGAGAGCAGTGAGTAACCTTATAACTTTAACTTTGATAACTGTAATGGTCTGCATTCAGGCAGCAGCACCGCAAGCCTGAAACACCGCCAACTGATTATGATACAACTGAGACACTGTGTTCATTTAGTCCTGTATCTCTGTAATAACAGGCTGAGAGATTTAGAAGCAGAACGAAGAAGTAAAGTCGTTTTTTAATGCTTCTTTTTATAATGGACAGCTGTAGTGATGTTTTTAGGACAGTTGACTGTCTGGGTGTGGTCACACATGAAACCAATTATTTTATAACCCACCTGTATTCTGGCACATCCCACATCCTGCGCTGATTGTCTAGTGGTGTCCTGCCTGCTGTGCTGTGCTGTGACTAGTAGCCCTGCAAACTCGAAATACCACAGACTGATTATGAGAGACTGTGTTCATTTATTCCTATATTTCTGTAAACACGGGCTGTGAGATTTAGAAGCACAATGAAGAAATGAAGTGTTTTTGTAAGTGTTTTACAAGTGTTTTTATCTTTTATAACAGATTGTTGTGCATTTTTCACAGCAAACCAAGTACCCATCAGCCCCTCCCCTGAACCCCCTCTGACATTACACTGAGTGTGAAGTCACTGTGGAGTGAAGGCCTGGAGAGGGAGAGGCGAAATTGTAGTGTGCTGTCACTGTAATTTGTTCCCTTACTGCTTCTAACATCAAGCGCAAGAACCCATCACTCTGTAACACTACACTACAGTAATTTCTGCTAGTATTTAAGGGGTGGGGGACTCTGCCAAGTGATTATAAAATAAGTGACTTCACTGTTTTTTTTTGTTTTTTGTTTTTTTGCAATTCATAATGCATTATAAGCATGACTATAAGGTGTAATGCATTTCTATTAATATTTATAGCCATGTTTATAATGAATGTGTTTATAGATGCTTACAAAGGAGATATTCATAGAAAGTGTTACCGATATGTGTATACATATAGAAATTAACCAAAGAATGTAAATATATTATAAGAACAATGTTCTAAACAAGTATGAAGCAAGCAAATACCTGGAAACCTAAACTAGAACATAATAAAACACTAATTTGTTGCTAATATCCTCAAAACCTCTTGGGTTTGACATTCTTGAAATCTGTTGGAAGGTGAGATCACCACGGGCAAATGATTTTGCATGTCTGCAATAAAGAAAGAAAGAAAAGACAGCTCTAAGCAACTGACACTGATACTGTTGCTTCTACTGTTATCCTACTATCCGATCTCAAAGAAGGAAGCTAAGATTGTCTTTGTAACATATAATTCTGCATCAAGAAATTTTAGTTTCCACAGCAAATTACAACCCCATTTCCAAAAAGGTTGGGACACTGGCTTTGTAGTATTTTCAATTGAATTTGGGGTTTAAATGACATACACATCAAAAAAATCAAGTCTTGCCTGGATGTACAAGGCCACCAAACGTGGCCTTGCATTCTGGTGTGTTGCTGATGAAGCTCCTAACAAGGGATGGTATATGTAGTCTGTCCAGAATGTTGCTGTGCACTTGCATCACAGCCATATGTGTCAACTTCTTCTGGCTTGTTGTACCTTGACGCCAGGTTTTCAGTCATCCAAGGGTAGAGAATGATCTTTCTCACGGGGCAGCTGACACAGGTAGAAACACACGAAGTTCAGAAAATGCCTCAGCCTGTAACACACCAGGGGGTTCACACTGAGTGAGGATCGAACTGACAGCAGAGCAATTGAGGGTTGGGAGAAAGGTGCAACTAGAAATTAAAGGGGCTAAGAGCCAGGAAAACAAGCTAGAGAAGAAGCAAATTAAAAGGGAAACAAGGTAAACAAGGAAAGTAACTGATCACTCAGGCCGGTGGTGGGGGGGTGTCAAACTCTCAGTGAACACACTGCCAGACTAACATGCTATGCAGCATGCCACCGAAGGGGATAATGACAGTGCTAACTAAAGACTTAAAATGATGACCCAAACTAACAGCTCTCCAAAACTAAATTTAAAAGCCTCTTTTCTTTAATCTCATCTTTCCCTAAATATGGAGAGTCAAAAAGTCAAGAGACTTTTTTTTATACTTGTGCTGGAGAACAAATTATGAAAAGCAAAGACTCAAAACTCAAAACAGATATCAAGATTACCGGCTGATTCAGAGCAACATGTGCAGGACACGGTGAACTCAAGACTGAGCAACGAGCAGCATTTGAGCACCCCCTAAGAACGGTGCCCACAGCTGCTACCGCTCAGCCCTAATGAATCAGTTCTGGCTCTCTGGCCCTCCCTAGCAGCCAGAGGTGGCCTAGCAGGTTGCCTTGACATCACACAGCTTCTTCAGTTTGTGGAAGCAATGCTGAAGTAAACGTGGCAACTTTGCCAGATTGCCCAGTAAAGTCAGCTGCATTTGTAGATCCATTGTTTGGCCTGTCAAACATTTTTGGGAACTGAACTTCCTTAAGTCCAGCCAGGTTTTGGTTTAAAGCATAGGTGAGAGTGGTTTCTTTCTGGGCACCCGTATTCAATCCAACTTCGTCATATGTTCGACTAAGTTCTGGTTCTTCAACTACACTCTGTTAAGCTGTTCTTTCAAGTCAAGGGCTTCAAAGAAGTGACAACTCCACTGTGTCTCTCTAGAGTCAGGCACCAGGGATTCGAGTTCTGTGCTGCTGTGGCTGCGAGCTGGGGTTTTGCTTGTCCTGGGGGGAGGGGGTATCCAAACTTAGTTCTCTAATTGCAAATGTAAAGAAGATGCCTCTGTATGGCAGCACTGTGCTGCAGATCAGGTTGTGTGTGTGTGTGTGTGTGTGTGTGTGTGTGTGTGTTTGTGTTTATAAGAGGGTTGAGTATTTATTTGAGCTGTTATAAACATTACTGCCTTTGAAGGGAATGAAAATTAGCACTAGTTGAGTTTTAGTGTAAGTATTTGTGAACAGTTGTGAACTAAAATGTTGTTCTTGTGTTTCAGAAATGAAGGGTGTTTGGGTGATGATGATGTACCTCCACTGCGCTCTTTCAGGTATAGTGACTCTATTAAAGGACTAAACACCTGAACACGTACAGTCTACAGTCCTGCACAGATTAGAGAATCACCAAACAGGCTGAATGACCACTGAAACAGAGTGACTCTAGTTCAGTTTAAGCGTGTCTTCAGCTGTATTTAGTGTATGCTAATGAAAAATAGTATTCCAAAGCATTGAGAATGAATGAATGTAAAATCCAGAGTCTGTATGTGTCTCTGAAAGGGTTTCTTTCTATTACCACTGACATTATAATTATCATGAGTTTCAAGTTACACAAGTTTTAAGAAAGTGAACAAATTTCTGGTCTTTTAGAATTATTGTTTTTTGGTGGTGTGTGGATTTGACTAGATTATCTGTGATGTGTGTGATTGAGTAGATTATCTGTGGTGTGTGTTATTGAGTAGATTATCTGTGGTGTGTGATTGAGTAGATTATCTGTGGTGTGTGTGTGATTGAGTAGATTATCTGTGGTGTGTGTGTGATTGAGTAGATTATCTGTGGTGTGTGTGTTTGAGAAGATTATTTGTAATGTGTGTGATTTAATAGATTATCTGTGGTGTGTGTGTGATTGAGGAGATTATTTGTGATGTGTGTGATTCAGTAGATTATCTGTGTTGTGTGTGTTATTGAGTAGATTATCTGGGGTGTGTGTGTGTGTGATTGAGTAAATTATCATTGGTGTGTGTGTGTGGTTCAGTAGATTATCTGTGGTGTGTGTGGTTCAGTAGATTATATGTGGTGTGTGTGTGTGTGTGTGTGTGAGTGTGAGTAGATTATCTGTGGTGTGTGTTTGTGTGTGTGTGATTGAGTAGATTATCTGTGGTGTGTGTGTGAGTGCTTGAGTAGATTATCAAATGTTCTGTTTCTCCATTGCAGAGAATTTTAAGCTGGTGAGTCCAAATCCATCTGTAGTAGCTGCCCCTGGTTCTAATGCAATTCTGCCATGTTCTGTTCAGCGTTGGAATGATGAGACCAGTATGAGTGCTGTGGATATGAATATTACGTGGACCAGACCAGACCTGGGAGGTGCAATTGTGCATTTCTATGCTAATCATAGAGACATTAATAAGAGGCAGATTCCTCATTTTAGAGGGAGAACAGCTCTGTATAAAGAGGAGCTACAGAACGGCAACATCTCACTGAGACTCGCTAATCTTAATTTCCTTGATGAAGGAGAGTACAAATGTAGTGTGGAATCCAGATTCTGGTACAGTGATTTCTCTTTTGAACTCATAGTTGAAGGTAATTCATTGATATTGTCATTTAAAAATGGTTAATGTTTTAATACATTTGTATGTAAAATGAAGTGATGCCACAAAGACTCATGTTTTGAATCCTTCTTTAATCCACAGCTATTGGAACACCTCCACTGATCACTGTGGAAAAATATGATAGTAACTCTGAAGAGTTCAGTTTACTGTGTGAATCTAAAGGGTGGTTTCCTCAGCCTGATCTTCACTGGCTGGACAGTGAAGGAAAGAGTCTCACTGCAGGAGATACAGAATCACAGAGAGACGCTGAGCTGTTCAATGTGAAACGTCGAATCACTGTACATAAGAGTGATATTGACACAGTGTTTTGTAAAGTGATACTGAGAGATTACATAATGAAGGAAAAGATCAAGGCTGGTGCCATTTATGGTAAGTTACTCCACACTGCTTAAAACACTCAATTAGTACAAGAATTCCCTGAAGTAAGAATTAGCTTGACAAGCTAATTTATTTATGTTTCCTAAATTAAAAATTCCAACCCCATTTTCTTTAAAACTGCCCATTGAGTCAGACTTTATACCATTTCTGAAATAAAAGAGTCCATAGAGAAAAATAAAAAATGCAGTACTGTGTGACGTTAGAGGCCACCCTCTCCTTTATTTAATTTTCAGTAGGGCTGTCACGCTATGCATGTTAATATATATTATTTTCCAAACAGTGGTGGAGAAATGATAAGCATTATGAATTGAATGCAGTTAGATTTCACCCTATGGAAGACGAGATAACAAGAATGGTTTATGTACAATCCTGTTTCCAAAAAGTTGAGACTGAATGCAATGAATCAGAAGTAAAGATGGTGAGGAGTGCACCACTCTGCTGCCAATCAGATGACATCTTTTTCAGGGAAGGCCTTGCTTATTTGAGCAACACAACAACAAACCATAATCTGCATGTATTACAGCTGCATGACTCTGTAAGAAAAGAGTCCGCATGAGAATAGAGTAGCTCTCTGTAGCGTGCTGTAAGAGCAGAATTGTGTCTCTCTGTAGAGCACTGAAAGGGCATAATTGTGTCTCTGTAGAGTGCTGGAAGAGCAGAATTGTGTCTCTCTGTAGAGCACTGAAAGGGCCTAATTGTGTCTCTCTGTAGAGTGCTGGAAGAGCAGAATTGTGTCTCTCTGTAGAGTGCTGGAAAAGCGAATTGTGTCTCTCTGTAGAGCACTGAAAGGGCCTAATTGTGTCTCTCTGTAGAGTGCTGGAAGAGCAGAATTGTGTCTCTCTGTAGAGCACTGGAGGGGTAGAGTTGTGGCCCCATAATAGAGCTCTGGAAGGGCAGAGCTATGGTTCTCTATAGAGCGCTGGAGGGAAAGAGGTTTGGCTCATTCTGTAGAGTGCTGAAGGAGTGGAGCTCTGCCTCACTCTAATTTGGGGGGGGGTGGATTTGTAGAGCGTTGCAGAGGCAGAGTTGTGGCTCTCTGTAGAGTGCTGCTAGGGCAGAGTTGTTGCTCTGTGTAGACTGCTGGATGGGCAAAGCTCTGTCTCACTCTTTAGAGTACTGGAAGGGTGGGTCTCTGGCTTTCTCTTCTGAGTGCTGGAGGGGTTTGCTTTTTGGCTCACTCTGTAGAGCACTTGATGGGCGAAGCTCTAGTAGAGTGCTGGAGGGGCAGAGCTCTGGTTCTTTTTCACTGTTTTCTGGGTGTGTTTGGAGTCTTTTGTGTGGAATGCGTCTGTGTAGTGTTTTGCCTTCGCTCTTATCAGCTGGTCTATAAGGGTAGTGATTTGTGTATCTTTTTGCATTAGTTCTTTTTTAATCTCATCAAATCATTTTTGCTGTATCAATTCAGTTTTACTTGCTGGAAAATGTTGTTTTCAATGTGTTTGTTTTCTTTCTTTTCCATTAACTGCACCTCTAGTGGGGAGACACAGTCTGGAATGCGTTTGACTGTTGCAGGTGTTCTGGGTGGGACAGAGCTGGTATCAGTTATATCTGTTAGAACAGTACTGGGGGCTAGATTTTGACCCTGAGATACAGGCCTGATTGGCAGGTTTAATTAGTCAAGGGGTCAAAACATGAATGTTGGGGCATGACCCCCCCTTACCCAATGTACTACGGTCAATGGGCTTCTCTGTTTGTAACTATCAACACACGACTGTTGATTTTCTTCAGTATTACCATTATAACACAACACCATAGAATCAGAAATACAATAGCTAACCAAATATTAAAATAAAAATGTGAAGTTTAATGAACAGAACACATGGAAACCAAATAAAAGTGTAATTAAACTGTACTTTATCCAGTGTAGCCAACACAAGCCTAAACGTGATTAACTCACAAACAGGGAGGACACATGGTGCTGTTGATTTGTAGCCTTTTTCCTTCTTTATAAATTTCACTTAACACAGAAGTCATAGAAGAAAGCCTGTAATAATCCATTTGATATGCAATGCATGTACTAGATATAAAACAATAGAAACATGTAGCAAACCCAAAGTTAGGTAACATCAAATTTTCCAAATGGCACAGATAATGTAATATATTGCATATGTTGTGAGAAAGTCCGTTTTCTATTCTGCCTTATGCATGCCTGCCTTTTTGTGTTTCAGAACACCTGCCTGCGTCAAAAGCTGCAATTGTGGGTGGAGTCATTTCAGTGGTTTTAGGCCTCATCGTGGTTGGTGTTATTTACTTTCATAATGGTAGGCACTTTGTTCACATCCAAACACACAATATTGTGGTGTCAGTGTGAAAGAAGACACAGGAAACATAGTGCTTCAAACAAATGCTCCTTTATTGAACAGCAGCAGGGGAGCCACACCTCCCAGCACTGCTGAAAGGCCAAGATACCAGGCAGGTCAGCCACAGCCACACATTCCAAGGTGACAGTAGATAACAGCTCACACAGATAACCACCCCAGGCCCTGGTAACTTTTTTAGGGGTGCAGCAAAATTTTGGGCATGGATAAATGGTGGAAAGAAGCACTTTCAGTTTTTGGCCTAAAGAGAAAGCAGAAGATGAGGAGACACTTGTTGATTTTTTCTTCACATATGCATGTCTTTGTTTTCTTTTCTGTTTACAGAAAAAATAATAAGGAGGAAAGAAGAAGTGGAAGAACTGAAAAGAGGTAAACTTTTTTTTTTTTTCCCATGGTTTTGGACTACATATGCAGCACTCTGTGTGCCTTTAGAACAAGCTGTTTTCATGTCTGTCTCCGAAAGCTTGCTCGCTGATGCTGCTGCAAAGCTACGTGTGTTGTTAGTCATCCTCTGTGTCTTCAGTGGGGTCCAGATGTCTCATTTGTGACTTTAATGCTGAGCCTATAGCTGAATGTTCTCAGTCCAGAGTTCATTAACCAGTTCTTCAGCCTAGTGGCATACACTGAGCAGCCTGACCCAAAGATACAACTCTGTCAGAGTGCTGAGATGCTGCGTCTTTGCTGCTGCAAAGGTGCAGAAGACAGAGCAGTTCTATATTTGCTTTTCAGAGCTAAGATAGGCTCTCCACTCTCCAAGCAATGCCTCTCATACTGGTTGGTGGAGGCAACTGAGAGGGCTTATGCAGGACCAAACCAGCCATTGCCTGCACCTGCTGTTGGACACTCCATCAGAGAGATCCCCACATCCCGGGCTGTCCTCAAAGAGTCCCTGTTGTTTATATGTGTGCAGTAGCCACATTATCTACTCCCTACATTTTCTGAGATTTACTGAGAGATTATAGACTACTGCAATATTACACAGTTCTAAAGGATCTTCTACAATAAGTGATCAGAATAAATGTTGCTATTTGAAACAAATTTTATGTTACAAATTGTAATGACAGGTATTTTGAAGGACAGTTTCATAAATGATCCATCTTTCCTTTAGAATTATTTTTTGTGTACATTATAATATGGTAACAGAGAAGGAGGTAACAGAGAGGTAATAGTTGATAAATAAGAGTTAATAAATTACTTGTAAATAATATGTATACATATTAATTATTTGCAAAAAACTTTAAAATTGAACAGCTTTGAACTCTAGGCTCTCACATTTAATATGTACATATACATGTATTACATTTTTTTATCTTAATCACTCCATCAGTGAAATATGCTTTTTGGAAGTCAGAAGTGAAGCAGCGTGATGGAGCATCAATGTGGTCTCTTTTGCTGAAGTCAGAAAAGGAGCAGTGTAATGGAGCAGGAATATGGGCTTTTTGGCTGAAGTCAGGAGAAGAGCAGCCTGGTGACTTAAGGGAAAAGCTGCAGGAAAGAGTGGAATCTCACTCTAGAGTTGTGTGAGCATTTTCATTTCATACTACAGTCCCATGCAAACATTTGAGCACCCCTTGAGCACCCTAGGTAAAAAGGAGTTAATGCAATATTTGCATAGTACAAACAAATGTGACACATTTTTAATGGATATTAGCAATTTCTTTACTCAATCTAAGGTATTAAAATTAATAAACAAATTTTTAAAAATGTAGCATATGCAAAAGTTTGGTCAACCTTTCAGTTGAACCATTACTATTTTAATTGATTAATTAGGCCTTAAATCAAGTCAGGTGTGGACAACTCCAGGGTGTAATAAATTAAGAGTCTTTAAGTTTACCGAGCTTACCTTTAACAAACATGTGCTCATGTAAGCAGACTGTTTCAACAGTGTGTGTTTGTGTGTGCGTGCGCATGTGTGAGTGAGAGAGAGAGAGAGAGAGAGAGAGAGAGAGAGATTGCAGCACTCATCTCTCTGTATCATGATGTATCATTATTTCTCTTCCAGGCTACGTAATCTTGATCTCACAGAAAAAAGCTGTTCAGTTCTGGCCTTAGCTCTCAGCTCAGAGAACACAACACTGACAGAACTGGACCTGAGTTACAATACACTGCTGCAGGATTCAGGTGTGAAGAAGCTCTGTGAGGGACTGAAGAGTCCACACTGTAAACTGGAGAAACTGAGGTAAGATCACTATGTCAGAACACACTCATACACTCTCTCTTTCTCTCTCTTTGTCACTCATTCACACATACATGCACACACAGATTCGAAGACAGAAACTAAAATAAGAAAACAAAATAAGGTCAGTAGGAAACACACACACACAGATGAAAGATAATGTATATATGTTAATGTTTATGAGCTTTTATGCATGTACTACATTATTTTACTCTCTCACACTTCAAAATCTGTTTCCACCAAGACACACACACACACACTAAACTTGCCTGTTATTATAACAGTAGATGGTTTGTTCTGTAATTCTATATGGGGCTAGCTAACAAACATTTCTATGATGGTAAAATACAGGAAACTAAAAGAGAAGAACAAATGTTGCAGCTGATCAGACAGACTTGGACAAAGCAGGCCTACCTTTATGCAAATAATTTGTAAATTAAATAAAATGTAATTCTGCCTCCTTGTTAGAGAGAAACAGCTCTGAAGTTAAGTCGGACAGCCAGACTCATCACACTAGTACAGACTGTGTGATGTGGCAGCTGAATACAGACACTCGCGGATGTATAAAACAACACGTTTTAATAAAATCAGGCAAATAAAGTTAAATGGCAGAGCAGAAAAAGAAGTCACAAAAACAGTCGATGAAGTTCAAAACACAGGTCAAGGCTAAGGTACGAAAGGGATCAGGCAAAAAGGCAAAGTCGAAAAATACAAAGTAGCAGTCAGGACACGGTAAACAGGCAATCGAAAACAAACACTCAGTAGGTCACAAAGATACAATACTTCACAATGATTCTGTCTAAAGCTCGGGCTTATAAAGTAGACTAACTAGTCATGTGAATAAGGACACAGGTGATACCAGTTAGTATTCCGGTGATTTAGAGCACTGATAGTTGCGCAAGCGGGAGTCAGAAGTCAAGTGAGCTCCCACTGTATTGTGGGCAATGGAGTCCGTGTCTGAGTCCAAGTCAGAGGGAAGTTGCTCCGTCATGTGATCTCCCAGAGGAGTCTGGGAGATGAAGTCTGTCTCTCTGCAAGAGCTCACTTAATACGTGACAGAGTGCTAGTATGTGACTGCTCTTTAATGTGTTTTTTAAAAACTGATTTAAAAACTTTGCTCATTTAAAATACAGAAATCACAGAAATCAGAAATCACCTTAAACATGGCTGCACATATTAGGGTGAGGGAAAAAATCAATACAACATATTATTGTGATATTTTGCATGGTATTATCGTATCGATATAAGGATGCATGGATGTCGATGCATGGATGCCAAGTCACATACCTGGGTTCCATTGTCTTGAGCATGTAACAAAAGCCTTCGTTTTCCTCAATGTTATATGGATGCAGTTGTTTTCACATGAAATAGATGATGTTGATGATATTTAATGAAATAAAGAACATTGTGTTCTCCAGGACAAAGAAGAAAAGAACCATCCAGATTGTTGCTACCAGCATAAAGTTTAAAATGCTATGTCCGTCATGGGGCAGTATTAGTGTGTAACGTGCACATCTGTAAAGGCACCATTAACGCTGAACGTTTTGGAGCAACATACGCTGCCTTTCTGATATCATCTTTTTCAGTAATCTCCATGCTTATTTCAACATCACAGAGTGCCTTATTTCCCCATTTTCTGTTCAAATGTTAAATCTAAAATTTATTTAACACGTCATCATCATCATCATGTCTGTTACAAATGTATCGTTGGACAGGACCAGGACCAATTAGGTAGAAGAACCAAGCATACAAATATCCAATGAACATCAGACATGACCCAAAAATGTCACATTGTTTTAAGATGAAAGACTTCTGGTCATCTTTTTTAAAAATTTGGAATAAAGTATTTGATCGAGATAATAATTAATACCTACTGCAGAAGAAAACTGTTTGAATCACCTCAACACCAACACAGCAGCAAGGCTCAATGACCTGATACTATTTTTAAAACTAAAACATTACAGACATGATATTGTTTCTTATGTGTGAGAAATTCAGTTAGACAATATGAGGATACAAGGGTCACCAATTTTATTCTTACAAGCAATAATTTCTCTCTTTTGTAGATGGTCTTTCCCATATTCTCACTTTATAGCAGTTTATTATGGACTTAGAATTATGAGGTTCTTTCTGCGTTCAGTGCAGTTTTCAGATATTGAGCATCAGAGAGTTCAGTTTAAAATAGCAGAACTCTTATGTAGTACAATTAACTTCCATATCCTTAGTCATCACTTTGAGATGTGTCTAAAATCCCAGCATACGCTTCCATGTCAATGGTGTGTTCACACATATATAAGTCACCCATGCATTGATGCATCCCCATGCCATGAGAAGCTTTTGCACCTTTCACTTATAAAGGCCTGGATGGTCCCTTTTGTCTTTGGCCCAGAAAACTTTTTTTTTTCCCAAAAGAAGCTGAAACATTCACTCTGACCACAGCACACATTTCCACTGTCTTTCGGACCACCTGAGATGCGCTTGGGCCCAGAGAATTAGGCAGCATTTGTGCATTGAACTGATATATGATTTTCTGCTTGTGTAATACAGTTTCAATTGCAGAAAACTGAAGTACTTCCGAGCCCATGTGGCTATATTTAAAACAGCAGTATCCCAGTTTCTCATGCAATGCTGCTTGAAGTCTCAAAGGTCATGCACATTCAACAGTGGTTTCTGGCTGGGCCCTTCACGGGCTGAGACTTCTTTGGATTTCCTGAATCTTTTGACAATAATATGTGTGCTATCTGTTGAAAGATCTAAATCCATTGCAATCTTGCACTGAGAAATGTTCTTGAACTCTTTTTTCAACTCTCTCACAAAGTTTGGCACATAGTGGAGAACTACCACCCATCTTTGCTTGCAAAGGCTGAGCCTTTGTTGGATGCTCATTTTATACTCAATTGTGATACACTCAGCTGTTACCAATTCACCTGCTGCTTGTGGAATGTTTTAAAAAGGTCTAACTGTTTACTCTTATTGTACCCCATCCCAACGTTTTGTGAGTGTGTTGCAGGCAATTTCTGAACTTATCAAAAAATTAATATAGAATATAGAGCTGTTAAAAAGAGTTAGTTAGTGGTAACCAGCAGTGCAGCCCCCAGTTAGTCCTTAACAGGCCTCATGCACCACTGGTCCACCAAAAATGATGCTCAAATGTTATTTTAGTTTCATTACTAAAGTTTTATCAGTAAAGAAAAAATAAGAACACAAATAAAAGGATGTTAACCTAAATGAAATTCCATTCAACATCAACTAATCAAAATCTCAGTTCAACATTTTATTATGTTAAGTTTTGTTTCTAGGTTAGTTCTATTTTTTTCTGTTTTGTTCCATCATGGACTTTTCTGTTCTACAAACCTCTGCTGCTGAGTTTCTGGACTCCAATGAGCCACACACAAGAGACAGTAGCCTTGTTCAAGAACAAATGTGCCTTTCCTTGGTGGTTGGTGAAATGCTGGTAGCTGCTTGCAGTTGGGGGAGGAGCTGAGAAGAGAGCTGTCAAGCTGGACAGGTTTAATGCTCACATGCCATGTGAACCAGGAGCTCTTGTGGAGTTCACATATCAAATATAACTTATTTTTGAAGAATACAGTTTTGAATTGCATACATAAAAATAACAAATATAAACACTATACATTTAAATATGCTATGTGCCATATTCAGTACAGTTTGTGGACACATGGTTGTAGGTGGAACCCTGATGATTCGTCTGAGAGAGTGAAGCTGCAGGTGAGAAACTGAAAGTTTAAGAGGAAAGTTTGGCCCACCCACGAATTTGTCATGCTCATCCAAAATGCTAGTCCTGGTATCCATAGCTGGATGCCATGCTATCAAATTCTCACCTGGTTGCACTTGATAGACATGGATTTCAAAGCTGACAGCTACACAGTGAAAAAGGGTAAGAATAGCCTGCTTTTAGCACTGCTTACTGTTTATCTTGTAAGTAAGACAGAACAACGTACAGTCATATACACTGCTGCTGTGTGGAGTCATGCACATTGCTCTTGCTCATGATCATGTTAAGTTTACTGACCAAGTTGTTTATTTCCCTTTCCATTTTCTGTTTGGCATGCGTTTGATGATTTTTTTCTCCACTCCTCCCTGTTGCTATGAATACTAGTCCACCCCCACTGATTCTAAATGTTATATGTTGTATTGTGATATAAACTGAGTCTGTTCTACAGTTGTGTAAGAGTAAAAAAAGAGTTTCTCTCTTTCTTTGTATTGTGTGTGTGTGTGTGTGTGTGTATTGAACTGTAAGTGATTTTAAGTAAGTAATTGTTCTTCTCTCTACAGGCTGAGGAGCTGCAGTATTAAAGGTAGAGGCAGTGCTGCTCTGTTTAGCACTCTGAAATCAAACCCATCATGCCTGACAGAGCTGGATCTGAGTGGCAATAAGCTTGGAGATTCAGGAGTGAAGGAGCTCCCTGATCTACTGAAGGACCCACAATGTAAACTGCAGATACTACAGTGAGTTACTGACTGAACGCTTCTCGGCCTTTTGGCTAAGATCAAGTGTAGTATCTGTTCTTATCAGTTTAATATCTGATACGTCCTCTATATAAGAACTACATATTAATTTGATTTTTAGAACATAAATTTCCCCACTGTGGGACTAATAAGGGTCACTTAATAATAATAATAATAATAAAATGATGAGTTTGGAATAGCACACTGTTTACTTAAACACACATGTGAAGTGAAGACTGTTGTGCCCTTTGCCCATTGAAGATTTATTTATTTATTTATTTATTTGTTTATTTATTAGTTTGTTTGTTGCTGTCTGATCTTCTGAAGAATCAAGATAACCTTCAGATGTAACCTTCAGATACTACAGTGAGTCACTGTTGCTGTTACAGTGAGTCACCCACGTGCAGTGGGCCCACTGACGCTTTTCATTATTGATTTTGCCTGAGGCCTTTATCAAGAGTAGATAGTAATGTTTAAGACTTTTGTGCTAAAATGAGTTCCATAAAAGGTCAGTGAATTCTTAGCCCTCACTTATTAGTTGTTGTTATCCACCATTACTTCAGTCAAGTTCAGTTAGCATCACATCTGTTTCCTGCAGATATAATTTGAAATTGAAGCTTTGGTTTAGTAGCCTGACACACTGAGGGATGAAGTTTTTTCTCATTTTCAAAGACTCAGTTCCCTGAGTGCTGTTAAAAGAAGAGGTTATGCAGCACAGTTGTAAACATGCTTCTGTCCCAACTTTTTGAAACGTTTTGCTGACATCAATTTCAAAATGGGCAGATTTTTCAGAAAAACAACATTTAAAATAAATAACATTACATTTTGTTTTTATTTAGATTTTGCACAGCGTTCCAACATTTGGAAACAGGGTTGTAAGTTAATTAATCCAGGTGGAGACTAGTAGAGCAGCAGGGTCCGGAGAATTTTTTTTTTCCTTAGTTTTGCCTTTATGTTTTTTGAAGTGATTAAACGTCATTTGTGCCTTCTTATACAGAGGTGTCCAATCTTATTTGCAGGGCTGGTGTGGCTGCATGTTTTCATTCCAAATAAGCAGGAGTGCACCTACAACTACAACCCCAATTCAAAAAAAGTTGTGACACTGTGTAAAATGTAAATAAATGTAAATAAAAACAGAATGCAATAATTTGCAAATCATTAAAAATGTGAACTCATTTATGACTTGATGGCAGGCATGCATCTCAAAAAAGTTGGGACAGGGGCAACAAAAGGCTGGAAAAGTAAGTGGCACTAATAAACAGCTGGAGGAGCAATTTGCAACAAACATGACTGGGTATAAAAGAGCATTTTAGAGAGGCAGAGTCTCTCAAAGGCAATGATGGCCAGAGGTTCACCAATCTGCGAAAAACTGCATCTAAAAATTATGGAATAAAATGCTTAATGTAAAATTGCAAGGACCTTGGATATCCCACTATGTACAGTACATAATATCAGAAGATTCAGAGAATCTGGAGAAATCCCTGTACGCAAGGGACAAGGTCAGCAGTCAATATTGAATGCTCTTGATCTTCAGGCCCTGAGGCAGCACTGCATTAAAAACAGGCCTGATTCTGTACTGGAAATCACAGCATGGGCTCAGGAACACTTACAGAAATCATTGTGCTATCAATTCATTGTCAGTTTACTGTGCAATCCACAAATGCAAGTTAAAGCGGTATCATGCACGGTCTAGAACTCCTTCCGTCTTCTCTGGGCCAAAGCTCATTTAAAATGGACTGAGGAAAAATGGAAAACCGTTCTGTGGTCAGATGAACCAAAATTTTAAATTCTTTTTGGAAACCGTGTACTGCAGACTCAAGAGCAGAGGGACTATCCAGCTCATTATCAGTGCACAGTTCAAAAGCCTGCATCTCTGATGGAATGGGGCTGCATTATTGTCTATGGCGTGGGCAGCTTACACATCTGGAAAGGCACTATTAATGCTGAACAGTATATAGAGGTTTCAGAACAACATATGCTCCCATTCAGACAATGTATCTTTCAGGGAAGGCCTTGCATATTTCAGCAAGACAATGTTAAACCACATACTGCATCCATCGCAACAGCATGGCTTCACAGAGAAGAGTCCGGGTGCTGAACTGGCCGCCTTCAGTCCAGAACTTTCACCATTAGAAAACATTTGGCGCATCATGAAATGAAAAATCCATCAAAGAAGACCCAGAACTGTTGAGCAGCTATAATCCTACATCAGACAAGAATGGGACAACATTCATCTTCCAAAAATACAGCAATTGGTCTCCTCACTTCCCAGACGTTTACAGACTGTTAAAAGAGGAGGGGATGCTACACAATGGTAGACACGGCCCTGTCCCAACTTTTTTTGAGATGTGTTGCTGCCATCAAATTCTAAATGACAATGTTTTTCATGAAATGGTAAAATGTTTCTCTTTCAACATCTTCCATGTTATCTTGTGAAATAAAATATGGGTCTATAAGTTTTGCAAATCGTTGCATTCTGTGTTTATTTACATTTACATCTTATACAGCGTCCCAACTTTTTTGGATTTGGGGTTGTACTTGTTTACTCAGTTGGTTTCAGCCTTCAAACAGCTGGTCGGGTGAGCTTCTTGAAGCCACTCCAACTCTATACAGATAAGACTGGACTGTTCTAATGCACTCTGAAGATCCTGCTGTGCATTTGTACCCAACACCGATGTGTTGTTCTAATGTGGTGAGAATCAAGACTCGGTCATCAGAATTATTTATTATTCCAGTTAAGTAATTCGATATAAACACTTTTTTACTTTATTTTACAAATTTTACGAAATATTTTTTTTGCCAATGTTAAGGTCAATATTTTGATAGGAACATTTTGGTATTGCAGGCTTACTGACAGTATCTTGAAATAATTATATAAATACTCTTTGATGAATGCCTAATCTAATTATGTAATACAGTGTTTTTTTGTTCTTTTTTGCTCTAGTTGAATATTAGGTCTTTCTTTAGTTAAGCAGGTTAAACTGTAATTGGCATTTAATGTATTTTTCATAAGCCCTTTTTATGGAAAGACTGTCCACATCCAGGGCTGAGCCAATCAGATGTATCATAAGGCCCACCCCATTTTCCCTATCCCTCCATTCACTGCTAGAGGGATCATTGCTAGCTGTTTTTCTGCCCTTCAGCAGCATGTGTTTTGGACTTTTTGGGCTTTCTACCTATCTCCAGAGCCATAAATACACTTAAAATTCAATAAATCTGTGTGATTTCCCAAGACACTGGTGCTTTCCTGCATTTTCTCATTACATTCATAGGCAATTAATAAAATGAATTTGAAAGTTTTGCACCACCATAAACCTTATTTTAACTCTAAAGCAGTATTGGAAATCCTGAAATGTAACAAAGTTTTAAAGAGTGAAGCGCAGGTGTTCTCTGTCCCCACTTGCAGCAATGCACGGCCAGAGCTCATCCATTTTGTAAGCTTGCTAAAGAAAAGAAAGAAAAGGTAGCTTTTGTTGGAAAAGCATGAGTTGCAACATTTGGACATGCCGCCATCTTGTCAGCCTAACTAAAAGAGAGAGTCAGAAGTTAACAAAGACATGGCCATTGTCAACAAAACTAAGTGAGTGTGTGAGAGTGGAGACAACAGTACCGACATTCTCAGTTGACAATGTCAATGAACCTCCACATCTGCGCCTTTTTATCTAACTGCAAAAGCTAATTACCAAAGGCTCTGTTATTCTTAATTGTTTCACCCTTCACATTATTAAAGTAAACAGTAATGTGATTTTCTTCTGTGGAACAAGTAAGGACACCCCTCCATATATCACTACTTCAAACATGCCAAATTGAAATCGGATGCGCCCGATCAGGTGCTAAAGATTGGAACATTAAGGTTCCACCAAGATATTCTCTCTTATTTAAACCTCAGATATTTGTTCTGGTTTGCTCTTTGTTATTGGAGTTTAGGGTATCGTCCTGCCTAAGTCAAAATAGCTCTCTGAGGTCTTCAAAAAGATGCAGATGCCCATGAGTCAGGGAGTGAGTTTAAGAAGATATCCACAGTATTGGAAATAAACCTTTCTATTGTCTGGAAGATCATCTACATGTTTTAAATCTTTTCCACTAGGCCAGGCCAGCTTGCCCGAGGAAATTTAACCTGAGAGCAGACCGTAACATGCATTTAAACATTTTAATTACAAGCCTGCACACATTTGGCCTACATGCTAAGTGCACCAGGAGGAAGCCTCTGCTGTCTAATGCAGTGCAATGCACTGTGGCAGATATCCAGCTGCCCTGCAGACAAAGCACATTTCATAGCATACATATTAGTATTGAAGTTCATCAATATATCTATTTAAAAAATTATTACATAATTATTATTGTACTGTCGCCTCACAGCAAGAATGGCCTGGGTTCGATTCCCGGCCGGGCAACCAGGGTCATTTCTGTGTGGAGTTTGCATGTTCTCCCTGTGTCTGCGTGGGTTTCCTCCGGGTACTCCGGTTTCCACAGTCCAAAGACATGCAGTCAGGCCAATTGGACATGCTAGATTGCCCCTAGGTGTGAGTGAGTGTGTGAATGTGTATGTCTGTCTGTCTGCCCTGCGATGGACTGGCGACCTGTCCAGGGTGTATCCTGCCTTCCGCCCAATGACAGCTGGGATAGGCTCCAGCACCCCACTGCGACCCAGAAGGATAAGTGGTTTAGATGATGGATGGATGGATAATTATTATTGTAATGGCTGATATGATATATATGAGGGCATACATCACAAAATGTCTGGCATGTGAGCGCAGTCAATTCTTATTTTATAATTCTACACTTATTAGTTTTTGTGCCATTTGCTTTAGGTCCCTGAGAAAGCCTATGTCACTCAGTGGTGTACAGCCAGCATAGTTATTTGATATGCTGCAGTGTTATGAGCCGAGCAGAACTCTCAGATCATTAGGAACTGGTCAGTTAGTCCTGCCAAAGGTGAAGACTAAACATGGAGAAGAAGCAGCTGCTCTTCAATGGAACCAGTTGACAGAGAGCATTAGAAGAGCCCCGACACAGGACACTTCAAAAAAGTGTTAAATCCAGGCTGAAAATATACCTGTTTGAGCAGCTTTAAGTGCCGTTTAACACACCATTAGCTTTTCCAGCCCTTCTCTTCTGTAACGACACTTTATTCTAACAATTATCTCAATAGCATTCATGAGCAGAAAGTATGAAACACCTTGGACAGGTTGGCAGTCCATCATAGACTCTTTTATTACAAAAGCTAAAATGGGATGTATCAAAACAAACGTTTACTTCAATGCATGAATGACTTCAAAGACTCAACAAAGGTAAGACATAAATGGTATATAAACATCTTTCATGCCTGCCATAGCAATATGATAATTAGGTTTAGGTTTTTAATTTTGCTGTGTTTATCTTCATCTCTGTACATCTCAGCTGTCTGATATTATCTTAATAACTATGTTATCTTCACTGGGCAGAACCTGTGAGGAGCAAACGCATGTTTTATAGAGAAAGGTGCTGTTGGTTACTGAAGTATTGTTTGTGAATCCAGTGTTCTGTTTGATGCCACTCTAGTTGATGCCCTCTATGCACTCTAGTTTTGTATTAGAGCAAAAGTGTTGGGAAATAAGTATATGGATGACTACATTGCTGTTACTAATTAGTTATAGTTTGATATTATGATGTTGTGGTACATGGCATGCTTGGAAATTGTATATACCAAGTTGGCCTCTATACTCCAATTTCATTAAGTACACTAGGTTTCTACATTCTTTGTCCATTTTATTAGCTCAGCAAACTCTGCAGCAACAGATGAACTGTTGTCTCTCACTTTACATCTACAAGGTGAACCAACAAGGCAGGAGTGTCTAATAGAGTGAACAATGAGTGGACACGGTGTTTTAAAACTGTAGAGAAACAGTTGGATTAAGTCTGATCTACTCGCACCAGCGGAACACACACCACCACCACATCAGTGTCACTGCAGTGCTGAGAATGATCCACCACCCAAATAATACCTGATATATGGTGGTCGTGTTGGGGTCCTGACCATTGAAAAGGATTAAAGGGGGCTAACAAAGTATACAGAAAAACAAATGGACTGAAGGCTGCAATTACAAAACTACAAAGTGAACTCTTATGAGGTCTAATCTATTACTCCATTAATCTATTATTCTTGTTTGTGGATTGTGTGTGTGTTCAGCTGTAAGTGTGAGGAGTTTTTCTTCTTCTCTCTGCAGGCTTGCTGTCTGCAGGATTACAGATGAAGGCTGTGCTGCTCTGATTAAAGCTCTGACATCAAATCCATATCACCTGAAAGAACTGAATCTGAGCCGCAATAAACCAGGAGATTCAGCGGTGAAGGAACTCTCTGAACTACTGAAGGATTCACAGTGTAAACTGGAGAAACTACAGTGAGTTACTCACTTACTATCTTTTACGTACTACTTTTCATATTACTTAAACTTAATATTTGCTTCAAATATTGTTTGTTTTATGTGTGCTTTAAATCTTTTGTATATAAGCCTGTCTGCTCATTTATTTTTAGATGCATTTATGGGGAAACAAATATTTAGACACTTTGTTTTTCTTTAATGAAGTTCAAGTGTATATGTGCATTGGGCCAGATTCATAAAACATGGCAGGAACTAGCTACTTTCTCAAGGCATGATTGTCGAGGTGAGGAGGCTTGCGTGCATCAGAGAAGCAGACAGTTATGCTGCCTGGAGTTATAACTCCTTTTAAGGATCTGTGTGTGGTTAGATTAAAGCCATCGGGAAGTCTAGTTGCTGAAGTTGACAACCAAGAAAAGCCTTGGAAACGGGAATGAAGCAGAAGATTGGCTAATCAGCTTCTATGAGTGCAGTGATTTTCATTACTATTACATTTTTCAAGCAACCAAAGCAACACTTGCACACCAGGACATTATAAGATAGCGTTCCTCAAAACCATAGGCTAGCCATCAGACTTTCAAAATGTAACCTGGAAAACATACCATCTGTCTTCAAAGAAAATATCAGTAGTCAATTTCAAATGTTGGACATAATTGTTAGCTCTCAAACTGCTGACAGAGCTTATTAGGCAGCATGAACATGTGAGATTTTTGGTTGGGAGGACCGTGCAAAAAATAACACTGTATGTAGATGATATCTTATTGTTCTTGTTGTCCTGTGAAATATCGGTGCCTAAGTAGGTCAATAATTGATAAATTTACTTTGTCAGGCTATATGATCAATTTTAGTACATCTGAAATTATTCCATTAAGCAACTTTAACATGGAATCATTATTTCCCTGTAAATACTCTAAAAGAGAGGTTTGTTTACTTAAGGGGTGAAAATTGCAACAAAACCAACTTTGGAAACATTTTGGAAAAGGGACCTAGAAGGCTTTCACAACCATCCCCTCTTGTTTTTGGGTAGAATAAGGTTAATTTATATGAATATTCTGCCCTGGCTATCATAACCCCTTTAGATGCTACATCTGCGGCTATCTAAATAGAGCGAACTCTATACAGGATGATATGGTATTGCAAAAAACATACACAGAAATGTAAGACTTTGCAGACATTGTCTGATGCGGTGGTCTTGCTATGCAAATAATACAGTCCATAACGGGCCTGCCATGCTAGGTTTATTTGGGAATGGTTTCACAATTATTCTGACCTATGGAACTCTGTGGGCTCCTGGGCCTGTTCTCCATTTTCAGTGTGAAATCTTATGTCTTATGTTATATTAGAGGAACCACTATACTTTACAATTCTATTAAAGTGTGGTGGCAGATTACAAGATATCTTAAGAAAAACATGGCTACACTTTTGTTGACTCCCATATGTAGAAATACAAAAATTTTCCCCTGGTGTAACCTGTACACTTTTCAGTGAATGGCATTCTAAGGGAATATGTGTGATGGGGGACTTATTTCAAGACAACACTGCAATGTCATTCCAGCAGCTGCAGCAAACAATTGACATTTCAAAGCAAGATGACTATAGTTTTTTGAAAATTTGTCATTAATGCAAAATTAGTCATCATTGGACACCCCCACATATAGTAAGACAGACTTTTTTTATGAACACAGAATGTAGCACACTCTATATCAAAATTGTATTTATTTATACTTTCTCAAGGTACACAGTATCAAAGCTTGGATTGTGTGATTTGCATATGGTAGGGACGATAGAGTTCACGAGAAGTACTGTAACCAATTAAGGCAAACACAAACCATTATACAGATTACATATAACACCAGTGATGCTGAATTTATCGTAATACTTCACCTCTCTGTACGAAGTGCCACACGTGCTTGGGGATGTATTATCTTTATTTCTGGGAATGTGAACTAATTTCAAGATTTGGGAAATATATAACTCAGGTAATTGAAAGAATTCTTAATGGACCCCAGCCATGTGTAATTGGCTGTCCACAACAGTGGTGCTGAAATGTGCTTTATGCTTCACCTTTAGTACCACGAACATGACTCATAACTCCTGAGCTGTCTTTGTGTGATGTTTATCAGTTGGTTTTTAATTTGTGACAATTTAAATCAGACTTTATTTTCCTGAACTACAAAGATGGTAAACAAACTGTCAAGATTGTTTGAAATGGCCAGAAAATATCATGTGCATTGATCAATTAATACACACATGGTTCTAATTAGCCATAAAGGATGTTTGCAAAACGTATTGCAATTTTAAGAGATTTTGGTGACTTTTTATTTAGATCAGCATAGAGGATTGTGTCAGAAGTAGGGACAGTTGTTTCCATGTGGGCAGCACCAGGGGTGGGTTTAAGTGGTCTTAAGCCCTGAATGTCCACTAAGCCTTGCACTGCCCCTCATTAAAAATACATTGCTTATTTATTATACCAATTGTATATTTATTTATATATTACAAGTCATTTATTACAACTTTTAAAATGATATATGCAAAAACGTATTTGAATTTTCTCATTACATCTTAAATTAAGTCACATTAACTGCTGGACCATTTAAGGTGAAATGGGAAATATAAACAAGAAGTTGGCAAACAGGAAGTCAGCTTAAGCCTAAAACATTGCCTTCAAACATAAACTATATCCACTCAGGTGCAGCCAACAAGTGAGCAGTTCCCGGGCTTAGCTTTTAGCTTCGACATAATACTAGAAGGTCTGGTGCTTGTGAGAAAAACAATTGTGCACCCTTGCAAAGGTAGTTTTCAAACTGTGGGTGGAGATACTTGATGGAGGGCCCTATAATTCTACACAACATTATTTAAAGGATGTCCGGATATCTGTATTTCCAAATAAGTTCAAAAAGTCATTGAAATGTTCATGTACGTTTTGATGAACACTACACATTTAGACATACTAAGCACATTATAGGATACTACTTTTGTGTACTATAGTGTGAAAATGTGCTTTTTTACGCACTCCAAAAGGTCCCTCTTTTCATTACTTCATTTTGAATGTTGAGTGTGTTTTAAGTGACAGCATTATTGTTTCTCTCCCAGCCTGATTGGCTGTAATCTCACAGAGGAAAGCTGTAAAGCTCTGGCCTCAACTCTCAGCTCAGTGAACTCAACACTAACAGAACTGGACCTCAGTAAGAATAAACTGCAGGATGGGGGGGTAAAGGAGCTTTTTAAGGGACTGACGAGTCCAAACTGTAAACTGGAGATACTGAGGTGAGAACATCACTTTCGCACTGTGGATGTACTGTATATCACACACAGTCACTTTTCCATCATAATGATAGAGATCATTCTCAAAAGCACACAAACACACACACATACAATCAGCTGAAAGAATAAAGTGAATTACAAACTACACAAAGCAGGGCAATCTTTACAATATCATACCTCTTTCTTACACTCTTTCATTTTTAGTCATATTCAATTCCACCTACTAGTTAGGACTCTCCCATTCACACAATACCACCAACACCCCATAAAATGCAGGGGATGCAAATACTTAAGTGAATGTACTTGTTGCTTTTTTTGAAGATTTGCATATTTCAAATGAAATACTACTTATCATCATTAACAACAACTAAATATCTTTTAGTTTCTAATCCAGTGTTCACATGGTGTTGTAAATACTGTTGTTCTGTGAAATCCATCCAGTTTATTTGATGACAGCAAAAGTTATGGTTAGGGTTTCCAAGACAACAGCATGGTAGTCACTCAGCAGCCTTCCCTGGTCCCATAAATGATGCTATTTTGAAGTTTTTTTTTTTTTCTGATGCAAGTACATAGAAACCATAAGAAGCTAACCTCAGTTTTGTTTAAGATGGTACTAATCTATTCTGAATATCTTTTATGGAATGCTGTAGTTTACCTACAATGCTTTACTTGGCATTAACTATTACTGTAAATAAATGACTAACCACAACATCAAGTTAACATCCTGTGGCTATTGCATGCAATAATGCTTAATATAAAACCAGAGAAAAAACAATCACATCAATGAGTTCTCTATGCTTCACTAACCACACAGTCAAATCCAAACATACAGTGGGGCAAAAAAGTATTTAGTCAGCCACTGATTGTGCAAGTTCTCCTACTTAGAAAGATGAGAGAGGTCTGTAATTTTCATCATAGGGACACTTCAACTATGAGAGACAAAATGAGAAAAGAAAAATCTAGGAAATCACTTTGTAGGATTTTTAAAGAATTTATTTGTAAATTATGGTGGAAAATAAGTATTTGGTCACCCACAAACAAGCAAGATTTCTGGGTCTCACAGACCTGTAACTTCTTCTTTAAGAAGCTCTTCTGTCCTCCACTCGTTACCTGTATTAATGGCACCTGTTTGACCTTGTTATCTGTATAAAAGACACCTGTCAACAGCCTCAAACAGTCAGATTCCAAATTCAACCATGGCCAAGACCAAAGAGCTGTTGAAGGACACCAGGAAGAAAATTGTAGACCTGCACCAGGCTGGGAAGAGTGAATCTACAATAGGCAAGCAGGTTGGTGTGAATAAATCAACTGTGGGAGCAATTGTAAGAGAATGGAAGACATACAAGACCATTGATGATCTCCCTCGATCTGGGGCCCCATGCAAGATCTCATTCCGTGGGGTCAAAATGATAATGAAAACGGTGAGCAAAAATCCCAGAACTACACGGAGGGACCTGATGAATGACCTGCAGAGAGCTGGGACCAAAGTAACAAAGGCTACCATCAGTAACACACTATGCCGAGAGGGACTCAAATCCTGCAGTGCCAGGCGTGTCCCCCTGCTTAAGCCAGTACATTTCCAGGCCTGTCTGAAGTTTGCCAGAGAGCATATGGATGATCCAGAAGAGGATTGGGAAAATATCATGTGGTCAGATGAAACCAAAATAGAACTTTTTGGTAAAAACTCAACTCGTCGTGTTTGGAGGGAGAAGAATGCTGAGTTGCATCCCAAGAACACCATACCTACTGTGAAGCAT